AGCCTATCCTTCTTTCTTTTTGGCATGATCTATACGACACGAATGAAACGAGCAAATGCACAACTTCCATAAATGACTCTATTCATAGAAGTATTAGAAATGCCTATGTTCTTGAACTCCTATATGTCTTATTATTCTATCACTTGTTCATGGGTCTCAGAAAATATGTAAGTTGATAAAGTTTATTTCATGATATTAATCAGAGGTATAATGGTCTTATGACGTTCCGAGAGATTTTATTAACGTACTTCTCATGCATTGCATTCATTTATGCATGTACGTTGACCCATGACCAGATGGCGCTATATACGCATATATGTATAGGTGTATATATATATATATATATATATATATATATATATATATATATATACACATACATACATGCACAATAAGTGCAGAAGTGTAGCATGAGTACGTAAATCAACGCGCACCCAGTAAGTATCTAGCGTAACCGCGGAGAAGCAGTGACGAGGGGTCGACATCGACACTTACTAGTGGTCAAATAAATCAAATACAGTAGAAAGTAAAGAAGTATAAGGCATGATATAAACAGTGTAAACAAATACAGGTACGAGGTACAATCATCCTCTGAGCAGTGAACACAAATTCTCAAATATCGATTACCTCCTCAACCGGAGTACAAATAATATGTTCCCTCACCAGGTGGGTCGTCACAACTCAAACCAGAAAACCTCATGGATACGGTGCCTTTTTATCAAATTTAACTCATGATTCGGTCGAGGCAAACGACCTGATCCCATAAGAGTGTTTTATAAAGTTGCCGAGGCGAACGACCTGATCCCATTATAATATTGTATAGAAATGCCGATGCGAACAACCCGATCCCATAAGAATATGATAATTGATATTGCCGAGGCGAAAGACCCGATCCCATAAAAGTGTGTCACAATAATATCCTGGCAAGGCGAACGGCCCGATCCCATTAGAACATGATACTACCGAGGCGAACGACCTGATCCCATAAGAGTGTGTTACAGTAATATCATGCCGAGGCGAACGGCCCGATCCCATTAGAATATGATAATGCCGAGGCGAACAACCCGATCGCATAAAAGTGTAAAGCTCAATGGGCCCTTGACCCCACTCACGAATACACGTGTGTGTTATGAAGTTTAAGGAAAACTTTCCGATAAATACGCACAATGCATGAGAAATTCGTAAGGGAAGCACAGTTTCTGTGGCTAATCAAGTAGCTCGTCAAATTTTTAAAGTAGCGAGTCCAGTACTCTACGTAAGTATAAATCTCAGGCCGTGATGTGAATAAAGTAATTAAACGGGCAAGGATAACTCAAACAGTACAATTAAAGTATGGCGTGAACCTAAGTCTACCCGGACATAATCAGGAATTCTAGCGTACGCACGGGCACTCGTCACCTCGTACGTGCGTAGCTCCCTCAACATGTAGCATATAATCAATATAACACCTACGGGAAAATTTTCCCCTCACAAGGTTAGATAGGAGACTTACCTCGCTCCGAAGTTCCACAACTGACTCCAACGCCTCTCTAACACCTCAAACTGATGCCCCTCAATCCAAAACTAGTCAAACAATGTGCAACTTAATCAAAATATACTCTAATGCTTACAATTTAATAATTTATGATAATTTTCAACTTCGCTTGAAAAGTCAATAAAGTCAACCCTCAGGCACACGTGCCCATATTCCGAAAATTTTCGAAGATAAACTTTACCCATAATGTTACGACTCAAACATATGATTTATTTCGATTTTCATGTCCAATTTCGTGGTAAAAATCCAAGAATACCAATTTCTAGGTTTTCTTCAAAATCCCCACAATTTCTACATAATTTCATGAATTTACAAGCCTAAATTCGTGTATGTAACTCACAACTTGTAGGAATCACTTACCTCAGTATTGACGACGAAAATGACGCTCCAGAATCGCTCCAAGGTCAGCTCCCATGGAAGAAATGAAATGAAAATGAGCCAAACTCCCGTACTTAACAAAACATTCTGCCCAGCGATTTCTCCGCACCTGCGGAATAGTAGCTGCACCTGCAGCGTTGCTTGTGTGATCGAAACTTCGCTTCTGCGGAGAAGCACTAGAGCCCGCCCCTTTGCACCTGCGGCAAATGTCCCGCTCCTGCGACATCGCGGGTGAGACAATCTCCCTCGCTTCTGCGCTGCACCCAGCTTCTGCGCTCCAAGAAGTCGCGCAAGTGCGGTCCAAACATCGCTTCTGCAAACCTTCACCACGCAGTCCTTTCCCGCTTTTGCGCCCAAATTTCCGCAGGTGCGGTCGCAGCAGAACTTGGCCAAAACCAACATTTCCTCAAATTCAAATTTCAATCCGTTTTCAATCTGTTTCAAACCCGAGGCCCCCGGGACCCCATCCAAACATACCAAACACATCCCAAAACATGATACGAACATAGTCGAAGCCTCAAATCACGCCCTACAACATCAAAACTATGAATCGACAATCGAACCCTTTCTTTAAACTTTCAAACTTCAAAATTTGCCGAATGTGTCCGAATTATACTTAAACATCCAGGAATGACGCTAATCTTTTTTGCGTGCAAGTCACAAATCACGATACGAACCTATTCCAAGGCTCGAAACTCCAAATGGACATTGATAACACCAAAGTCCACTTCAAGTCAAACGTAGGAATTTCTAAAACTTTCAAAAAGCCAACTTTCCATAATAAGCGCCGAAATGCTCCCAGCCGACCCGATACTCAACCTGAACACACGCCCAAGTCCGAAATCATCATACAAACCTATTGGAACCCTCAAATCCCGATTTCGACGTCGTATAGTCAAAAGTCAAACCTTTGTCAACTCTTCCAACTTAAAGGTTCCAAATTGAGAATTTTCCATCCGAATCAACTCCGAACTTCCTGAAATTCAATTTCGACCACACGTACATGTCGTAATACATGAAGTGAAGCTACTCAAGGCCTCAAATCGCCGAACGCCACGCTAGAGCTCAAAACGACCGATCAAATCGTTACATTTTCCCCCACTTAAACATACGTTCATCCTCAAACGTGCAAAGAACTACTCCGGAGTTTCCCCAAAATAACTATTCAACACCTTGTGCACCTACCCGTGCCACCAAAACCTAGGTGAGCACATTATTTCGAGCCATACTGAAGATCCTCCTTTTAATTTTAGCCAACAAGCTTTAAGACCGAATTCCAACTTCTGAATTTCTCTAAAAGACATGATTCTAATATATGAACACCGTATCAATCTCCACACGCCCAACCCACACTTGATCATGCACCCATGCTGACATCACACAATGCACCGCATAAATTATTTGCTCATGGTAACCTCCTCCAAGCACAACAGCTGCAAATTCACTAACTCGATGCCCATAGTGTACCTCATGACACCTATAAGCCCGGTTTCAACCCCCACGATGCTGCAACGATGAAAGATATGTGCAGGAACTCATGACCACCTGTCAAATCAATAACTCGTGGAGTTTCTCCACTTGACAAGAACCATTACCTAATTCTGAACTGAATAGTGATGTTTCTCTTTATACCTGACATAAATCTGATCGCATTGATTTTAGGCCCAATAGCCTCATCTCACCTAGTACAAGCTGCTAAGGCAATAAGTCACCTCAAACATTGACTAAAATCTCACGTGACGCCATCAATGCGCCAACAAGATACAACTCGAATACGACACATAAGGAAGAACGAAATATGGAAAAGAACTACCCAGCCTACGTAACAAATAAAATGACCGATAGATGCTATGAACCTCTCTTAGAGATGAGAAACAAGACACACGAAAATAAGTTCAAGGAACTGTACTCAACATCTCACTGTTGCGACGTGCAACCCGATCCTCACATGATACCGTTGTGGCATGCAACCTGATACAAATATCATACCCGTGGCGGCATGCCACCCGATCCACGCATAACAATATATCACGGAGTAGCCATCGAGCCATAATGCTCATACCTACAGAATGCCTGAATATCGACCAAAAGCACGCCAAGTGCATAAATGCGACCTTGGGGAGATAGATAGCGCCACGTGCTATAAAAACTCAAGCATGACTAAGGTGCAATAACGATAAGCTACGCCGAACCACAACCCACGTGCGAATAATCAAGCCACCTCACAACCCACATGGCATAATATAGTATTACAGAGAATAGCTGACGACATGAATAACATCCAACACTTAAATACTCTTCCATAAGCAATGCTATGTTGAAAGAATACGTCCAACCTAATGTAGGGCATACACTCACATTGGTTCTACTAACGAACCTCAACCCGATTCTCGCCATGTTGGGCCAATAACTTTTCAAGGATCCACAATGACCCTATTTATGACACATAAGAGCAGCCGTCGAATCCGGAACAACTCACACAGTCCACAATCAAAGGAATGGAGTGCCTCTCAGTCATAACCTCTCCCATTGGCTACAGTACCAAAATCTCCATACCTGATTTAAATTTCTAAAAATAAAATGACTAACTTGTGACACTTCCACAATTCCCGGATGCAAGATTTTTAATGGATAATGAGAAGAATTTAGTTAACTAAGGAGAAATGACAATAAAACTAGCAATAATCAAGAATAGAGTTGAATTCAATTGGTAAAATGGTCTAGGGTTATTGATTTCCCCAATTGTCGGATTAATTTCTGACATGTTAGTTATAATCTCGCTGTAACACTCGATAAGGAATATGAGTTCTGAGCTTCCGCAATTATCTCTCAATCAATTACGATAATTTACTAGAAGCATTCTCTCGAACTACTCTAGTTGACAATTTATGCAACTCAGAATTATCCCACCAAAGCTTCGTTATCTCTAACCCTGCTTTTAAATTCAAGTAATTAATCTCTTAACTTACCCGAAAGTCGTGTTGTTCAACAACAATCTAACCAAGTGTTCTTTCTCAAGCAACACAAGATAACTAGACACGATTAATCAAGGGCCCTTTCAATTAATCACAAGAAAACACGTAGTTGAACAATCATAGAGAAAAAACGTCCCAATTATATCAAAACAGAGTCAAGATTTTATCCAACAATTGGTTCCATCAACCCTAGATGACGGGTTTAGCTACTCATACTAATAGATGAAAATTCACTATAGAAAGTCATAATCAACAATGGAATTAAAAAGAAGAAGATGAAAACTCTAAGGAAATTCTCTGTCTTTCTCCCGTGTTCTTGCCTTCAAAATCTCTCTAAACACAGCTATCCTTCTCTTCTGGGCGAATTAGGCTTCATATAGGTTTAGGTTAGTCGTCTTGGAAATTACTTAATTGACCCTGGGTTATTGGCTTTCGTCAGCTTGTCCGCGGCCGCAGATTGGACCGCGGATCTTGCCCAGTATTCTGCCTCAGTACGCGGCCAATCCGCGGTTCAATCTGCACCGGGCACCTGGAGGGGACTTTCCCACTTGATTTTCTTTCTCCTTTTCAACCGCGCTAACCTCCGATTGGCCTTCCACATATTGACTCCAAAACACTCTTTAGCTTCCTCATAGCTCGGAGTGGCTCCTGCAAAACATAAAACTCTTAATTAGAGCATTTTGTTATCTTTTAACATTCAAACATTGATTAAGTGCGGCCAAATTAGAGTGTAAATAGTATCTAAATTGCATAATTATAGTCTAATATCAACACCCCATACTTAAACCTTTGCTCGTCCTTGAGCAATCAAACCACACTCTATAGACGCCTAACTTCCCTGAGCGACTTCCCTAACTCGTCACACCAAGAATATTCCACATAGATTGAGTGCATTAGTGTAACATCCACACCTCAAGAGTTGACTCCCGCGAGCCACACAATATTCCTAACCGGCTTACTTACTCTAACTCAAAGGTCCAGACTTACCTCTCCTTCATGAATCAAGTGCCTGCTCACAACAAAAGAGACTCATTCCACAATCAATAAAATGCACACACACAAAGGAACTTCAATATGAACAGAATTCACTCACCCTCAGAAATGACATTCATATGCCACAAAAGATGCACCATAGGCTTGCCCGTAGTGTACTACTCTACTAATCGAGCTCATTCAGTCTAGGATCAAGTAGGACTTTATTTGGTAGTAATGTAGGCTGCGGGACGGGTATGATACATTAGATATAAGAGTGACTACACCTCCCTAAGCACTTTAATACATATACTTTAACATTCAAAACCCCACACTTATTTCAAACCGTAACTCCACCTTCACATCACTATATATTAACTCCCTTCTTCTTTAAGCTCACTTACATCAAGAGCCACCACTTATCAAGGAATATTTTTCACAATAAACCAACTATTTATTATTATTTTTTTATTTTTTATTTTTTATTCAGGTGGCTCTAACTTTATCAAAACAGTGCACCTTTCTCCTTATTTCCTTAGTTCCACTCAAAAGCCAAACCCAGCACCCCACACTTTAACTTTTACAAAGTTCATAACTATTTAAGTGCTCATAAGAGGTTAAAAGGTTCAAATAGATGGTTAATTCAAACAAATGGGTAAGGCTTGTAGTGTGGTTACCAAAGAAATAGGATTACAGGCTCAACGGGGTTAACTACGATACATAACAAATGGGTGGATGAAGTATAAATATGGTTCAACAAAGAAATGTCTATATCACTTCCCAGACTAAACAAGACTACTATTTCGCTTTGCAGACACACGGGGCAAGTTCTAGGCATCAAATGTCGTGCACAGAATACAACAAGCCTTACACACACATGGCATATGACTCACTCTAGATTGGGTCATCAAACACTCTAACCAAGGTACCTAAGCCAAATTAAGAACATACAGTTTAAGGCATTCTTACAAGAGTCGACAACTGAGCCTAAGCGTCACACTAAAGTACCCGCTATATTTAAGGCATTACGACGTTAAGAGATCTTATTTCTATTTCTGCCCATATCCCACAAGTTCCTACTAACACTAAAAAAAACTAACTACACCCAATTCAAATGAAACCCTTGGAAAAGAACCGTGACTTAAAGAAAAATCAAGGAGGAATTGATACACTACTACAAAAGAAAATATTTTTGTGTTTTTTTTCTTCGACTTTAGTACCTCAAGAAACCTGTCGAATGATATCCATCGTCGGGACAAGTCGAAAATGATTTATGTAAATAAACTACGAAACTATTCTACATATAGCAAACCAACAAAGTATCCCCCACCCCACACTTAAAATGATGGCATGTTCCCATGTCATACAAAATAATGTAATTCGAGGTAAAGGAACTTCCCTGGAAGATCAGTCTTGATCGAAGACAGTGCCGGGGTCGAGATGACACGCCTCCCCAGCGCACGTAGCCAGCCCATGATTTTCTTCTCCGACTTTTCATTTTGGGTGGCCAAGGCATCAACTCTAGTCCCCAATTCCGTGACGGAAATGCGTAGCCCTGCAATTTCCTGTTCTAAGGCTGTCATCCGCGTACTCCGGCTGACTGCAAATGGTCCTTCAACTGCGGCTACGTGTTCTCGTAGGGGTGAGGATGTCCCAACTTGTTCCTGTGGGGTTGAAGAAGGACCGACTTCCTCCTGCTCTTCATCGCTCTCCTGTGACGCCTCAGAATCATCACTATCAGCTGAACTGAGTACCACCGTGTCCTTCCTAATGTACACTTTGTCTGCCCGGAACTTTGCTTCTTTCTTCTTCTTGCCATCCATATTGGGGTTCTCTGGCACCCCTGCAGGCCGGCACAATCTAGTGACCAGAGATGGGAAGAAGAACCCATACCTCCTCAGTGTTGTACGGATGAACATCTCAGATTGAATAACCTTGGCCACATCAAAATCTTGGCCATTCACGAAGCACCAGATCAAAGCAGCTCTCGGACCATTTACCTCAGTGGTGTTGTGGGACGATAGCAGTCGACTATTGATGATGTACAACCAACAATTTCCTTCAAAGGTGAGTGAGGCTGAGTGCAACTTCGATCTTGGTACAACCCACACTACCTCTTTGTCTGGTACACAGATAGTTTTGAAAAACATGTGCCAATTTGTTGGTTCTCGCCGGTAAGTATCATAGTAATCCACCTCCCCAGTGAATACAGGCAAGCGATACACTCTCCTGATGGCTTCTATTGAGGCATTCACCCTCTTTTGTCGAACAGTGTAGATGTGATCCTCATGTTCAGAGCAGTTGGCATAGAATTCCCTAACAAGCATCAAGTTACCCTCATCCGGCTCTTCGAAGAAGATGCCTAGCCTGCGCCTAATCAACTCCCTATACATATTGGGCTACTCAGCCTGGAGGGATCCCCTGTCAACTTCCCTTTCCGGTATAGGCTTTCTAATAGCCTTCCAACTGAAACGGTCTTGGGCAGCTCTGGAGACAAACCTAGTGCGATCAAACTGAGCTGAACTGGCTGGTGCCCATGCCCGGGACAAGCCTCCATGACCACTTGATGAGGCACCCGTAGTGCGTCTCTTCTTTGAAGATCTCATGGTACCTACACAACAACCACCACTATCAATAATCGGTAGAATATGGGAACCAAAGGCGGTTACTCAGACTTCACTCGCACCATTGGTCACAATTTATACTAAAACCTCATTGTGGCAATTCAACAAACACTCACTGTGCATATACCCCCCAATGAACCCAAAGACCCAATTAAACTTCCATTCTTCACAAACTCAACAATGTCTTCCCCAAACCAACCAAATCTATTATCCTCACATACCAACGTATATACCAAAAATCAAAAACAAAGACAAGAGTACCCATAACTTCTACTATCCTACACTTACAATAGAAGAGAAAAAGAATGAAAAAAAAAGAAACTAAAAAAACTAAAAAAAGAAAGTAGAAGCATGTTACGTACTTGAAGATCTTGTGAGGAATGGAGCTTGGGTAGTGGTTGAGTAGAAAAGAGGAAGAAGGAGAAGAGATTTTGTTGAGTTAAAAAAAATTGGGGAGAAGAAGGGGGAGGGGTGCGGTATTTTTGATTTGGAGAAGGGAGGGGGAAGGGTTTTGTTTAAGATTTGTATGTTGGGGGGGGGGGGGAGAAATGGGGAGTGGACGTTGAAAAAATGGGGGGTTTGAGTAAAAAAAACTAACTAAAAAAGGGGGGAAGAGGAGAGAAAAGAAAAGAAAAATAAATAAAATTTTTTTAATTGAACCTGGACGTCTCTGCATTCGCGGTCGATCAGCGGTCAAATCCGCGTCCGCGAACATAACCCTGTGCAAAACCGCGGTCAATCCGCGGCCGCGGATTTAGGCATCCAATTTTCTTTTTTGCTTTTTCGCACTTTTGCCTATCTCCGGGATAATTTCGTCACCTCAAGTCCTTCCGCTGCACATAATTTCGTTCCTACACCTTAGTAGATCGATCAATATTGTCACCATTCAGAAATCAATTACAAAAATAAGAACAAAGAAAAATAATGGGTTGCCTCCCAAGAAGCACCTGATTTAACGTCGCGGCACGACGCATGCTTTCATTATTACTCTTCGCTCGTGTATTGGTGTTCTTCCAAAGATATCACCACTCTATCCCCCTTTTCTTCGACCATTCCAAGGTAATGTTTCAACCTTTTCCCATTCACCGTGAACTTATTTGTTCCATCTTCGAATTCAATTTCTACAGCTCCATTTGAGAACACTTACACCACTCTAAAGGGTCCTGACCATCGGGACTTCAATTTACCTGGAAACAATCTTAGTCTAGAGTTGTATAACAATACTAGATCTCCGGGGTTGAAGTTCCGACCTAAAATATGCTTATCATGCATCATTTTCATCCTTTCTTCGTACAACATCCTTTCTTCGTACAATCTTGCATTCTCAAATGCATGGAACCTGATTTCCTCGAGTTCATGTAACCTAGTGACTCTACTGGTGCCTGCGGTCTCCATATCCAAATTCAATTGCCGCAGTGCCCAAAGGGCTTTATGCTCAATCTCCACTGGAAGGTGGCATGCTTTTCCAAACACCAACTTGTATGGTGACATACCAATTGGAGTTCTAAATGCTGTGCGGTACGCCCATAATGCATCATCCGGCTTCTTTGCCCAATCACTCCTTGTCATATTCACTGTCTTGGTTAGAACACTTTTGATTTCCCGATTTGACACTTCAACTTGCCCGCTCGACTGTGGGTGATAAGGTGTGGTCACCTTATAGCGAACTCCATACTTTTCCAACAGCCGTGCGAACGCTGTATTGCAAAAATGGGTTCCACCACCAAAACGTGTGAAGATGTTTTTCTTTAGAAAGCCTGTCACCCCTTTTGCATCATTGGTTGGGAGAGCCACATCTTCAACCCATTTGGAGACATAGTCAACTGCCACCAGTATGTATTTGTTACCATACGAGCCGATGAATGGCCCCATAAAGTCAATCCCCCACATATCAAATACCTCCACCTCTTGAATAATAGTCATCGGCATTTCGTAACGTCGAGATATGTTGCCTATCCTTTGGCAGTCATTGCAACTTTTCACCCAAGCATGGGGATCCTTGAACAGAGTTGGCCAATACAAACTCGATTCCAACACCTTAGCCGCTATCTA